AAAGCTACATTAACAGAATCTTTCAAGTCTGAAAGTACAGTTCTTCTGCCGTCTCCTTTACAGCCCAAGAAACTAGGGAGGGTCCCTTCTGAGCCTCTTGCCCCACCCACTATCCGGCTATGGGCTATGCTGTCTCTTATCTGGCCATTCCCTCCCAAGGTCTTTCCCACATGCCATTACATCTAGGCTGGATTCAGGCATCAGGTTCAGCCCTGATCTCTTTAATTATGGTTTACTAAATAAACCACCATTGCCTAGCTTTGGGCAACACCCTATGCCATAAAGTAGGATTTACAAGCCCCAGCAACTAGGTTCAGGCAAGAGGCTATGTCAGAACCAAACAAACTACTTTTTAGCTTGGGATGATGGCTGAACCAAACCTGAAACAAGAATCAGGGTTTAGTTTTTCCTTTATATGTATCTTTTAAAATGTGAATGATTATTTGACATCGCACTGGTGGTGGTGAACACTTCCCCTCCACCCTAAAATCATGAAGGGATGATTTCAACCGCAATTTTCAGAGAAGGGTTAAACCAGGACAATGACTCACACCTCAGTATATAGTAAACAGCTGCCTGACCAAGTATGTTCATACAATGCACAGCTCGCTCATGCATAAGTCTGAATAATGGATCATGAATCAGAAAATGGACAAAACATACAGGCCAGCCATAGGCAGAGAGGACAATTAACATTACACCCTTTCCTGGAAGTAAATTTTATTAGCAAAGTGGGTCTTTTGGGAAAACATGAAAGTTGCTGCACTGCAAACAACATGAAGATATGTGGTTTTACAAAATAGTTGGCGGTGGGGGGAATCAGAAGTTATAAGAGAATAAAAACATCAGAGAGCAGATGAAACAGACTAGCCAGGTTTTGATTCAAAAGGAATTCATCAAAAGAAAAGGAAGATGTTTATACAGATGGGAGAAACAGAGGGAAATGAAGAAACTTAGTCTCTTGTAGCTGCAGCGAGAGTTTTGAAGGGATTTAAAAGAGGAGAGCTGATCAATAAGCCACCATCTAATCAGGATATATGATATGATATACAAGACCCAACAAAGAGACTGATATGTATGATGGCTCTGCAGGGCTTTGGATTTGACTCCAAAAGATGCTTTGGAGTATGAAGGAATGGGATGTTGGCAACTCCTGAAAACAGCTGGGGCATTTTGTTTGTACCCCTGGAAGCCCCAAGGCATCTTTTTGGAATCAACTACAAAGCATTGCAAAGTCCTCAGATGCAGATGGGGAAAGGGATGGTCAGGTTTGGGCTTAAAATTCCAGAAGTGTAGAAGAGCCGATATGAACTTGAATTTTGTACTTGATAAAATGATGTTGTAGAGAAGGGCAAATGCGAGGTATGGAACTGCTATTGTGCAGCATCAAATCACGAGATAATCATCTTGAGGCTTTTCTGCAGGTAATAACTGAGGATGTGTGTATGTGTGTGTGTTTGATGGTTGATATTTCTCAGGATGGCTTTTGATGGTTCGTGGTTTGCGGCTGTAAGTGTTTGAATACATCCCATTTGTCTGGGTAGTGAACTGGAGAAAACAGCTGAGAGGCAGCTAGAAGATGAAAAAGAGGTCTTGATGTTTTGCAGTTGGAAAGAAATAGCCTGGGAAAGTAGAATCTTATATTTGCTATAGGAGCAAGCTGCTTTATGGACAGTTAATAAATACAGTAAACCCTTGCTTTAACAAAACTTGGTTTAGCTGAGTTTGGATCCAACAGACAATTTTTTCCATTCAATGTCCATTAAATCAGTGGTCTGTCCATTAAATCAATGGTCTGTCCATTAAATCAAAGACTTGTCCATAAAATATGCAGTAGGGGATTGTCTATTACATTGAGGTTTTACTGCAAATGACAGCATTTACAGCATTTGACACAGACAATGTATTTTGACAAAAGTGACATAAATTCAGATTTAATGGGCTTTTTCTGGTGTGGTCTGTTAAATCATGGTTTTATTTTATCTTTATACTTGGCAGCTATCCTAAGTTCAATTTATATATTAATTTTAACAAATTAATCAATAATTGTTACCATTGGTATCCCATCATCCCCCTGGCTTTATTATGCCAGAATTAGGGAAATCTCATTGAATTGAATGGTGGAGAATTTAGGACAGATAACATACTTCATTGGTAACACATTCAACCTGGATGACTTAAAGGGGATTTGAAGGAAACAGTGAGATGAAACACTAGTTATCATGGCCAGATCCTTGTGTCTTGCTTCTTATTGGTCACCCTGAGAACAAAATGCTGGGCTAGATAAGCCAGGTTCTTCTTATGTTCTTAAAGATGTCTGTCTGTATATCTGTTAACTATCTCTGTCTGTCTGTCTGTCTGTCTGTCTATCGTTACAACTTACCGATTTGATAAGTCACAGAGAAATCAAATTATAGTTCATGCCCTGTTTTACTAACTTCTTGCTTGCATTGTTTGTTTTCTCCCTGGATTCAGCCGCGCCCTTCCTTTGACAAGTCATTCCCTTTCAAGACAGCCCTTGTCAGACTCCTGTTGTGTCACTAGACCTGTGTGAATCTCAAAGGGCAAAGCTTAGTCATGAAGGAAAATCCCTTGGAGGTTGTCACAGATGCAAATCGGCTGAGGAAAGGAATGTCAGAAAGTTGTTTGGGGTTAATGAGATACTGATAAAAATGGAAGTGAAGAATTTAAATATAAAATAGGAGGCAGATTAGGTGTAAAGCATCTTTACCCTTTCACAAGTTACTAAAATAAATTTGGAAAAATACTTTTAAGCTGTTTAGCCCACTGCTGGCAAAAGTGTCTATTTGAGAGTCTCACACTCTGATGGGGAAATAACTCCTCCAGATGACCCAGATAGGGAGCCAAGTGCAAGAAGAGTGGATTTTTTTTTCTTTTTCAGCTATTCAGAATTACAGTAGGTGGCCACTAGAAGCCATAATCACACATGACATCAACACCCAATGACACAATTTGGGTACTTTTGTGTTATTTGCTTGATGATGTCATGGTACATTTAACATCACTTGTCCCTCCCCTTCCCATATGATAGTGACTGCCCCTCCCCTCCCCTCCTGTGTGTAGGTGTTGTGTCTACTGTGAGGGTAGGCAGCCAAGGGAAGGCTTAGGAAGTTGTCTCTTTGTGATGAAGCTGTGGGTCATGTCAGATGAAGTTTTGATGGGCATATTTGTCAAATGTAAAGCCAGTAAATTCAAAAGTGTAACAATGTACCCTTTTGCTCTATATCTACATATACTTCTGGGTGTGCTTCTTGTCTATACCTCACAAGGCTGACATCAGTCTTGCAAGTCTGAAAGTACATATCTCCCCCCTTGCCTTTACAGTCCAAGAAACTAGGGAGGGTCCCTTCTGAGACATTTACCATACCCTCATTCCTTCTGTGGACTCAGCTGCCCCTTGTCTGACCATTGTCTAGTCTGTGGTTCTTCCTCTTGTCTCCCAATGTCATTCCCACATACCATTTACACCATTTGTGTATATCTGCATATGCTTGGATGTTATAACAAGGAAGGATGAATGTATGAGCCCCATGGTTGTCCATAGGGGATGGCAAAAATGTCAGTATGGTGACCGTGACATCACCACTGAACCCCAGTCCCCTTTTTACATGCATCTCTCACTCCTGTCAAAAAGGGGTGGGGCTTTGAATGCAGCTGCCATTTTGATTTTTTGACCTCTTCATGGATGCCCTTGATAAGACTGCAGAATACTGTTCTGCCTGCAACATATTGCATATAAATTTAGCTCAAATTGTGGCTTAACTATCCTTTCATAGTGCAATTCCCATGCGCCCCTATTTTAAGCTATTTTGAAATCCAGTGGAACTAATTTCTAAATAAACATACACAGGAATGTCGAATAAAAGTAAAATTATAGTGGAGTCAAGCAAGGGGTGCGAGGTTTCCCCTCCTTTTTTTTTATTCTAAATAAAGCTTAACTTTGTTGTGCAACATTCCTCATTAATATAAAGAAAAACTTATTTTAGGGTAGGTCAAAAATGTAAGTGGGACTGCTGGTTGTAGCACTAATACTGGTGACGTATTTGCATCTGTGTCCATCCTTGGCAATATCCTCTGTTACGTGTTGGGCAACGTTTTTTGGGGAATGAATATAATGTGTGCGCCAATATTTTAATCATGTGGATAAAATTGCATTTGGTGCTGAAAAATAGTGATCGTGATACAAATGTTCTGCTTTCAGTGCATACAATTTTAAATACGTATTTTGTCTTTTTACTTTTTTTTCCAGTGGTGCATTTTCTGAAGTAGTACTGGCTGAAAACAGGAGTACTGGAAAACTTTTTGCAGTTAAGTGCATCCCAAAGAAAGCCCTGAAAGGGAAGGAAAGCAGCATAGAAAACGAAATTGCCGTTCTCCGAAAGTAAGCATTTACAACATCATTTATTTTATTATGGTTCTTTTAACTATAATATAAGGGCCTCAACAGCAGAACTCAGATTGTTCTCTGAGCCCACTTCAGATGAGCCGTGACATCTCCCTAGAGCATCTAGAGAACTGATGATTCATGTGGTCTATTCAAGCAAGTTATATGACATTACTTTTGTTTTTATATTGCAAGAGATGAAGGTATGCACATATAAAAGCTGTGAGTTATTACTTATTTCATCTAATTTGTGTTTTGGTCTACTTGCCTTAAAAATTAGTTCATCATTTAGTCTTGTGTATTTAAATCAATATAAATAAAATGATGGAACAGAAATAGATAGTAACGTCCAACATATTTGGGAAGACAGACATTGGATATGATCTTCTCTAACGGGATAGGGAATGGTCACCCATGTTGGTAAATGTGATCAAGTCTCTGTTTTTTTTGGACAGATTAGTAGGTGAACAGTTTGATCTATGGACAGTTTCTAACCTATGCATGAATGAATAATATTTTTTATCCATCCCAGGAGACTTACAGACCAGGAAGGTTTTCTGATGTCCTTGGATAATTTTCCAAGTTCTAAAAATGCTGAGGCCCTAGTTGATACCAAGAGTTAGGAATTGTGGGGGAGTTAAGAATAGCCATGTCATAAAGTCATCTAATACTTGGGAGGAAGACTAAGACAGATCTGGACAAAATATTGAGACAACACACTGACAACAAAGACATGTATTGTCAAGGCTATGGTATATATTTTAATATATAACTAGGAAAGCTGGATTATCAGAAAAGTTGAACAAAGCATCATTGATACCTTTAAACTGTGGTGCTGGAGAAAATTGTTGAGAATACCCTGGACTGTAACAAGGACAAATAATTCAATACTAGATGAAGTGAAACCAGACTGCTCACTTCATTAATAATGAAGCTGAAGCTTAAATATTTTGGACCCATAATGCAACTATAACTGTTACTTGCAAAAACTGAAGACACTGGAAAAGGAGTCCTTTAGAAGACAAGAAGTAGCTAGCTAGATATTATCACTAATAACTAATATTATCACTAATAACAGCATGAACTTAAAAGAACGCAAAGAAGCCATTCCTAATAGACAGTCCTGGTGAAATGGTGTCTGTTGAGTCAAAAGTAATACATGGCAAAGTCCAATTTGGATCTTCTGACCTTATGGTGAAAAAAAAGTGTGTATGTGTGTGTGTGTATGCTTTTAAATTTTGGGGACAGAATGGTACAAAAGGGACTTCTTCCATCCCATGAGGCTAAGCTTTGAAATAAATTTGCCAAGAGACATGACTCAGGTTGGACCACAAAGTATGCAGATGACACTGCTCTGTGTTCCATCTGATCTGAAGGGTGTGGTGGGAAGGCTGCATTGATGCCCAGAGGCAGTTTATGGTTGGATGAGGATAGGAAAGCTGAAGCTACATCTTGATAAGGTTAAAGTGTGGATTGGCAAGCCTGTTGATTTGAAGGGAAATATGTAACTTGACCTGCAGACACTGTTCTGAAAAGTCAAGTATGCCCCCTGAGGATGCTTCTAGTTTTACTGGTAGTTGAAGGGCCATCACAGGAGAAAGATAAGGATTTATTCTCCATAGCACCTGAGGGTAGGCAAGAACCAACAAATGGGAACTTTACAGAGGGACTTCCAAATTCAAAATGAGGAAGAATTTCCTAAAAGTGAGAGCTCTTAAGCAGTGGAACACCCTGCCTCCAGGAGACATGGGAGCTCCATCACTGGAGGTTTTCAAGGAAAGGTTGAACATTTGTCTGAGGAATCCTGCCCTGGGCAAATGGTTAGACTGGAGGATCTCCAAGATCCCTTCCAAACTATTATTCTGTGATTCTAACAGTGTTTCTTATCAGCTCTGAAAAGATAATCAACTCCTGGGTGTATATGAACAAGTCAGATCTTGCCTTAGTGATTTTTACTTGGATTCCTTCCAGGCTGTATTACTTCAACATACCTTTGCAAGACAGTTTGGAAACTTCTGTCACCATAGCCTTGTGGCAGCAAGGTTTTTGTGAGAGTTAAGCAATGGAATGTGGTAACACCTGTTTTGCACCAGTTGTTTCTTAGCCCCATGTGAAATGCTGGCATAAGCATTTACAATTCTAACCACTTTGGGACCTGGTTGTGTCCATCTGTACAAGTCCATTCATCCATTGACAAACAGACTTATCAGAAGCAGCATCTTTCCATTGCCCGGCTTATATTTGTGGAATATACAATCACCCTTCATGTTGTGTAATTCCATGTATAGATCTTTCCTTCAGCTGGGATCTTATAAATAGTTTTCTGAGAATTTTTACTAATGTTCATTTTTCAAGAGGCAAACCTGTGTCTATTTTTAAGAATGGTTGTATGTATTCATTCATGTTACTTACAGTATATATGAATATCTGTAGATATGATAGATAGACAGACCCAGTATATACAAACACAAAATATATAAATAATATGTTATTTATAGTTATTATAGTTATTACTTCTTTATTGCTTGTTTATTGTCCTGAGAGAGCCTTTAGGTTACAGAAATCTATTACAAAATAAAGTATTACACATGTACAGTGACAGATACATGATCCTTATGCAAAGGAGGAGACATTTTTGGTGAAGCTCCAGTGAACTTTGTAGGCTTAACAATGACAATTATGACATTATAGCTGTTCTCCCCAACTCTGGTTTTGTAGACAACCCTCAATCTTCTCAAAACAGCTCTTCTAAAACAGTTCTTGAAACCAGTAACTAGGATTATTAACTCCTTCTTTCCCCCAACTTCCACAGATGTTTTCATATGGCTAAGATACAGGCAGAGAGGTGCCAAATTTGCCTGCATAACCAAAACGTTTCTCAAAAATGCCTTAACGCCTTCAACAGACTGCTTGTGGTGATGCAAACATTCAGTTACGCTGTCAGGCCCTACCCTAAATGTCTGACTTCTAAATAAAAACTCTAAATCTCTGCCTGGACAACTGTACAGTAAAAACAAATACCATCTACTCTTACAAGTCATTAAACGATCTCTGGGGCTGTTCTGACTGGGATCTCATCCACCTTTTTATTTTCTAGCAGCATTATAGGGCAGAATCTTTGCTAGCGTTCATCACATACATCTCCCTGAGCCTAGGAATATCTAGTTTCAGATCAGAATCTGTGCTATTGTAATTTAAGTAGGTCAGTTGTTTCAATGGAAAATGTGAAACATGGAGATGGTGAGAAGAAATGAGAAGCAGCCCACTTGATTTCATGTGATTTTGAGCCAGTTCCCCAATAATTTAAAAAATGGCTTAGGTTGGTTGCACATTGGATATATAACCAACCCTTGGCTTCTGTGCTGGAGAACACTTCAAAGACTATATTTGCAATGGGTCTCTTCCACGATGGACTTTTCTCAGCATGAACATTCAGTCAAGAGATGCATAAAATAGTAGTTAAGCAGCTACTCAGTGGGATGAAGCCTTCTTGAAAATTCATTCAGTATCGTTTTCCTCTACAGGAGCTTATTAAATACAGAGAAATCAGGTTTCCTTTGCCCTTGTCATTGTGGCATGCCAACCCATGCCACACTCAGCTGAATACATGCTACAGAGCTAATGGTGGCTTCTTCGAAAATGTGCACATTTTATTTTCAGGCAAGATTCAAGATGTGAACCTTTCACCTCTGCTAAGTAGATATTCTCCAGCCAGCCTTGAGTTGGTAGGAATCTAAACAAACATGGGATTTTCTGTTCCCACCGATGATCACTAGGGAAGTACATGGAATGGAAAATGTGTTTTTGTTTCATACACAAGACATATTGTGTTTTGGAAGCTCTGCCAAACCATTCTGGGTGGGCTGTAGCTTGGCAGTGCCAAAACCTGGAGCATTTTGGTTGTAACAGGTTCCAGCCAAGACAAAATCTGGAGGGGTCTTATGGGAGGTAAGGCTCCCCCTCTTTCTTCTTCTCCTCCACATGGCAGAGGTATATTAGCAGAGGTGTACTAGTCCAGCACTAGCATCAAAACTTCAAACATACCTTTGACCTCAATTTTCCCTGAGAGCAGCCATTCAGGGACCACCTTGGCTCCTTTCCAAGGTACGTGGACTTCCATAACTTTGGGGTTCTATTAGTTGTTTCATATGGTTATACTAACCTTTATGCTCCCCTACACCCATATAATGCTCTTACCCCCCCTTTTAAGATCCTTTTAGATTCTTTTAGTGTTTTATATCTTTTAGCTTTCAAAACTTTTTTTTTATAAACTACGATGTACCTTTTATGCTTTTTAATTGACTGTACCCCACCCTCCTTATTCTGGTTTATGACCATATAATAAAGATTTGATTTGACATGGTTACCACACTGAATCCTGGGTTAACCCCCCAAATGACCACCTTGTTGCTTCTAAGGCATCTCCAAAGTTATGTCAGGTGGTTTCCTCCTCCTACAAAAAGGTTCCTGCCTTTTGTTCTAGGAACATTTTTGTTCCTAATAAGGATAGCAGGCTCAGGTCTATAATGGACTTTACTATCTCAACTATTTTTTGTGGAGTTATTTGTTTTAGAGGATATCGATTGCCTCTATCCTTTCCTTCTTGCAGAAGAGGATGTGGCTCACATCAATAGATTTTCAAGATGCATACTTTCACATATCAATAGTTCCCTTCCATTGTTTCTTCCTTTCCTTTATAGTGGATATCAATAGTTCCCTTCCATTTATCAGTTTAATATTCTACCATTTGATCTCTCCATGGCTCTGAGAGTTTCTTTTTTCTAAATATACCATATCTATTGTTGTGTTTCTCCAAGTCCAAAGTATCATTCTTCCTCTTATTGAGACAACTCTCCTCTAGGTGTGAATGTAGAAAAGCTGTTCCTCTTGATTTGTCCTGGCCAAAATATAACTCCACAATGTTGGATCTCAGCAGCCCTAGTTCACTTTGTTGCTCCTTCTTGCCTGTTGGGAATACTCCATCTGCTGACCCAACT